AGGTGTCCCCCATTGCCAGAACCCCGCAAAAATTATCGCTGGCAAAGCTAGAGCTCATACCTTCGATAGTTTAGAGACAGGGCGTTAAAAGTGAAGGTTGTCTGAACATATGACCTCATAAAAAGTGAAGGTTGTTTAAAGAAGATCAGAGAAGGTAAAATGACGTAAAGCAGATATAAAAAGCAAAAGGAACTGCTAAAAACCGGATAAAAACGCTGCAATGAGGTTTGAAAACTTTCATTTGGCGGATTCTCAAAGTGCAAGTTTTCGCTCCAGGACCAGCAATTCGCAACACGGGGGAAAGCGAAGACAAGCTAATTTCTTTTTTTTGCGATTGTTTCAAAAAACATGTTTAAAAGGGGTGGTCATCAAGAAGAAGATAAACAAGAAAGAAATTAGTTATGAAAACGCAAAAATTCTTTTTTATAAGTCGAAAGGAACGTCGAAGCCAACTTTGATTTTGAGGCGTCTTTAACTTTTCACTCCCGCATCGACGTTCCCGTTTCCTGGGACATTGTCTGGGTTGTTGCGCTTATTCTGGGTCAACAATCGCTCAAGCAGGAAAAAAATCGCTCCGAAAGCACTGAAACAGAACAAGTTAAAGAAAAACTTTTTACGATTTTTCGCAAAAAATTCCACCATAAAGGAATTTTTCCTTCTGGTCAAAATGGATTTCTGCCTGGAGGATCTACCACAGCTTTGCTTACTGATTCCTTGTTTGACTGGATTAGCGCACTGAATCATGGCAAATCAGTTGATATCGTATTTTTCGATCTTTCCAAAGCTTTTGATAGAGTTAATCACTCTAAACTGCTTTGGAAACTCGAGCAATACGGTACTCGTGGTCAGGTTCTCTCTTGGTTTTCCTCTTATCTTCATGATAGGGGCATGACGATCAGAGTGGGTAATAGCTTTTCGAGCCGCATTCGTTGTGATAGTGGAGTTCCTCAGGGTGGCATACTTTCGCCGCTTCTTTTTCTCACCTACACTGCTGATTTACCTTCTTTTCTGAAAACTCATTCAAATCTCAAAATTCAAGTTTTTGCAGACGACATCAAAATCTATTTCTGTTACGAAAGTAAATAGCAACTTGAAGCTTACAATGCAATATCCTCAGCTATTGATAGGATGAACTTGTGGTCCAGAAAATGGAATCTTCCAGTTAACGCTTCAAAAACGAAAGTTTTACATCTTGGAAACTCTACATGCTTTACTTATGCTTTGGACGGGGTCAACTTGGAGCACTGTAGTAGTACTAAAGATTTAGGAGTTGTCTTGGATAAACAACTGGATTTTTCTCTTCATTTCGACTCGATTTCAAAGAAAGCTCTCTCAGCCCTTTTTGTCATACTAAGAAGTACTTATAGTAATGATGCAATGCTCCTGGTTAGACTCTATAAGACTTACGTGCTTCCGCATTTAGAATATGCATCCCCTGTTTGGAACCCATTTTTGAAGAAGAACATTGACAAACTAGAGAAAGTGCAAAAGATTTTCACTAGAATTGTTTACTACAGATGCTATCCCGATCCCAATTACCCTAGGTCTTTGCCACCCTATAATTCTAGGCTGTCTACTCTCAAGTTGCGAAGTCTAAAGTACAGAAGAGTATGTAATGACCTAGTATTTTGCTACAGAATTTTGCGTCTTGAGACCAGATTGACTCCAAGTCGCTACTGGATATTCAGACTTTGTGGCAGAACAGGTGGTTTTGGCCTAGGTTACCGTAAACTGGGGGGAAAGTTGTTTTCAAAGGCTTTCAATTCTTTTGCATGCCGTACTGCTAGATGGCTCAGCCAGTTACCACTTGAGGTCACTTCTTGCAGAAATTCGGCTGAATTTCGTAAAAAGTTGTCATCAATAGATGTACTGCAGGCTTTGAGAATACCTGATGTTTAGCACTCATAGTGTTATACACGGCATTTTGGCTTTTTTTTTGGATTCAATAAGTTTTGGTCGATTTTTTGGATTTTTTTTTGGTGTTTTTTTTTGGAACAACTACTGATAACGTGTTTTCTTGAACCTGGCAGAACAATTCGTGGAAAAATGCGCTTGACTTCGTCTTTGGTAACAAAGGCCTCGCTCTGACGCCGTATGTGGCCCTTGACGCGCAAATAGATGATTGATTCTGTCAGCTCTACGTGCCTTGTTTGGAGATTGAGCCATGCATGTCGAGTTCTTCCCAAGAGCCGGTCCACTGGTGATTCCCAGATCAAGGCTGTTGTTTTGCACATTAACTGCCTTCTCTCTTGTACTAATCTCTTGGAAACTTTTAGAATGACATCTCTGCTTGGAATAGTTGTTCAAGGAGATCGAAGAGACCAGTGAGTCCTCTTCCTTGAGGTCCCCCCTTCCCACTCGCCCAGGGTCTCTGACGGATTCGTCCGCCTAGAGTTAAGTTGGTCAGCCAAGCCCTGGTAATTTCCCGCTTCCTACCGCGTTTGGGTAAGGGAAAAGGACTTCGGAGGAGGTTCACTCACTTCTTGAAGAAGGACGACCTGGTCCTTCCAGCAAAAGATTTGCGATAGACTCGACTGCTTGTGCTTTTGTTCACTGCTTTTCATTTTTTGTTGCTTTTTGGAACACCTTTGTGTGTATTAAATAAATAAATAAAAAATAATCCAAGAGATAAAGGCTGGGTGGTTGTGTGCATTATGAACAGAAGCGAGATCTATAGGATCAAAAAACCGCGTGAAAAGAGGTGAACTAAGAGAAAAACAAGAGATTTTCGAAAACAAGATTTTTGCCGGACTCGACCAAATCAAAAATGTGGTTTTGGGACGTTGTCAGCGTGAAAATAGAGATCAAGAGCTTCGAAATGATATATAGCTTGCTATAATTGTTTTCGAAACAACAAAGAAAAGGGTACCAGAGCCAAATGCCCCGCGCCCCGCTTTTGGGGTAGCGAGGTAGCGCGCAGCGCGTGGAGACGCGGACGAGCAGCGGAGACAGACCAGAGCCGACGGGGCATTTGGCTCTGGTCGTAGATCTCCGCGGGGTCTCAATGAAACCCCGCAACATTATATATCATTCTGGTCGTCATGACACGGCGAGGAGAACTGACAACGTCCCAAGCTTTGAAAATCACGCACTAACGAGATAGACCAGCGTTTTCGTAAGTGACTCTCCGCGTGTGATTTGAGCGCAGTTTTTCGTTTTTATTTAACTCCAACAGCTTTCCTAGTCTTCTGAAACTCGATTTTGGTCAAATAAGAGGATAACTGAGATATTTTGTCCTAAATTCTGGCAAAAAATCCACAGAAACTTTCTTTTCAAGGTAAGAATGCTATGAAAACGCAAATTCTCGGTTTCGCTGAGATAAGCTGAAGATATTATTCCCTATATTTACTTCATTAACATTCGTTCCGATATAGTCAGGATAATAACATCCGGGGCTTAGCCCCGGATTACTTCTGCTTTTTTTCTCCAGGTGAAGGTTGTGTCCCCTCATAGCTTTCAAAGTGAAGGTTACCAGAGTACGTGGCTCCATGTATCGAGGGTATGCTAGAGCTTCAGGAATCTTACGACCCTTCGGTGGGTCATGTGATGCCCGATGTCAATCATGTACTCTGCGCACATATCTGACATCACTCTTTTTTAACGAATTACATCCATATCGTGTATGGTCCGCGCCTAGTTTCACCTTAAACGTATGCGCGGGTCGCAACAAAGACATCCGGACTCCTGCTGGGCTTTGTGCAAGACAACAACCCCTGCCGTCGTAAACGAATAGATTTTGTAGCCAGTGTGGAGAACCGATGAAAAGCATTGCCTCTCTACTAGTTTTTGTCTTGAAATTATGCAAGAAAACGCTTCATGGGATCTTGCGCCCCGAATCCGGCAACAGCCTTCAACTCTTTCAACAATCCGCCGCTTCAAGCTCTCAATTCTTTTTAATCTCTTAACACTTCACACCCCTAAATAAGATGACGGAGTCCAAACGCAAGCGCAACCGATAGAATCACAGCAACTGCATCGGCCTACTAAGATACTAACGCTATGTAGCAGTTGCCGAGGTTTAAAAAAGTGTTAACTCGAAAACTAAGTCCAGTCTATCTCCCTCACACATTTTCCGATCAAGCATTAAAGAAAGTGCGAAAGGGCAGTGGCGGACCGAGGGAGGCGGGGACGGGAGGGGCCACCCCCCCCCCCCGAGAATGGGTCGCGAAATTTTTGAAACTTACCTATATGGGTCATAGAAACGACTTGTTTATTTTTGTAAATAATTGCAATGATTTTTAAAATTTTTTAAAAATTCAAATTAGCCTTATAAAAAATTTTTTCTTTTTCTTTTTCAGATTTTAGGGGTTGGGGACCCGCAGAAATTTTGAGAAGCACCCCAAAAATTTTTTTCGGAGTGCGTGGCTAACGCCACGCACCTTCATTTGAAAATATTTTTTGTCGCGCCCCCCCCCCCCCCCGGTCCGAAATCCTGGGACCGCCACTGCGAAAGGGAAAACTGCCCTATCTTTTGAATAAGGCATCGCAGATGAACATCAATTTTTTGAACGAAGGCCAACGGAATGAGTTTGAAAAGCGCATTTTGTTGAAAGAAGACTTCTTGGTGGTACTTTCTTGTCGTTTTAAATATGTTCAGAAAGCTAACAACAATTTGTAAATAAATGTTCAATGTGATTATAAACTCTTTCTCAGGTGCGTCAAAAACGATGTACGTGCAGTGAAAAAGCAGTGCTCACAAGGCTAGTGCTCTAGACCAAATACCCTAATTTCACGCGTACAAGGCGCACCTTTTTCGATTTTTCAATTCAGTCCCTCAGCCGCTTCACTGTATTTTGCAAAGCGATCCTTATGCCGTACGATTCTCTCAAGCAATATACAGCACCGCATAGGGTTCTTTGGTTGCAAAGTCCTTTAGCGTGTTTGGGCTGGTCGATTTTGGAAAAAAATCCCCCCGCGCCTTGTACGCGTGAAATTAGGGTAGTTATACCATTGTGCATAAAATGTACAATAATGTTTACTAAGCAAAACAATCAATTGCTTTTTTGAATACGATGCGCTTATAAGGAAAGACATTATATTTCATAGAAGCTGTGACTTGCTGAACAAAAAAACTTTCTTATCGTTAATACTTTTTCACACAAGTCGCAATGCATTCTTCCATTGTCTTGAAGTTGTTAGCAGATGGATTGCAACCACCGTATTCAAACTCTTCGCATTTTCCTATTGCTTTGTTGAAGGTATATCTAGAAACAGACGTACTCAAGGCAGCATGTCGGCAAAATTTCGCCATTCAGTTTTTTACCCATTCGGAGCCTTTTTGCCGTTAGAAACCCATACCTAGGCTTTTCGGCACCTGAAAATGTCGTAAATAAACCCTTTTCGAAGCTTTCTAGGTTCGCATTCAGTAAAAATACCCTGGAAGTTTTGCACCACGCCTCCCTCGTTTTGGACTTTGCCCACATACACGTACTTTCGGCTAAATGTGGTCCCGGAAAGCTCGAAGAAAAGCTCATTTTTGCCTTTTCATGCGCTAGAAGCCCAGATAGGTTGTTCATGGCAAGAAAGTTCCGGAAAGGTGAAAAACTGGGAAACGAAATTTTTCAGGGACACTACCTCTAATAATGATTCTTAAGGCTGTCATGCTTTAGCTAACCTCTTGTATTGAGCAAAGCACTGTAAACCAGGTGAGTGTGTGGGTGCATCACAGTCCTTCGCTTCCTTGTCTTCAGCGTAGCCAATTGCGATACAACTCAAAAGTAGCAGAAGCTTCATAACCATTAAACCTTTTAATCTGAAAACATTCAAAAATGACTACGCTTACTACAGCATGATTTTCAACTTGAAATAAGACCAAGAGCGGCAGCGAAGGACAAGTTTGTGAGTGGGGTTGGCCAGATACGACTGAAAATGTTATTTCGATAACTGCTATCCTAAACGATACGGTTTATAAAAACACTCGCTAGCACTCAGAAAACGGCGTTGGTTATATGTAGCTGCCATTTGACGGAGATCTATTTGACTCTTAGTGATAGAAGCCAGCATAGCAACGTTTCATTGCACAGTGAGAAGCTGAAGAGGTATAGACATGACGATTAAAATTGACACTTATTATTCTTCGCCGACATTCACCAACATCAGGAATGCAGAATCAAACTGAAACGTCTGCTCCACGTAGAGAGCACAAGATTTCTTCCACGAATCAGTTGAGCATAATGAGATATGAAAGCGAGAAACAAGGTGTGATCGCGACTTTGAATTCAGCTACGTGGACTTATCTTTGCTCAAAACTAGCCGTTCTTCGTTTAACAAGTCATCTAGGTCTGGCACACTGAAAGTCCAACCTGGCTGATTTGAAAATGAAAGACGACCATCTTTGCGAAAATCGGCTTAAATACCACAGTTCTTGTCCGAAAAGGGCTACGAAATGGCAGGATTTCAAGAAAACTAATAACTGATTTTGAAACGCATCCTCCTTGATTCTGCAAATCACAACGTATTCAAGACGGCTTGCAGAGGGTGGCTTCGAGCAGTGTCTCAAATGAGCGACGAAAGGACGGAGCCATGCAAAAAGCCGAAAATCTCTGAAAAAGGCAAAGAAATTCAAGAAGGTAGTTTCCATGAGCCGAGCCCTGTAGCGAAAGGAGCGATCTGGAATGGCTTAATAAGGTTAGAGCGTGATCAGAAGAACAATTTTATGCAAACAAACTGGAAAAACTCGAATAATGGAAAAATATGACGTTTTTGCGGCGCGGTGGATGGCTCAGTGTCACCTGAACAATGAAAGTTTGCAATTTCATCCATACTTCGTAAATTATTCATGTTTCCAATCAAATAAATCGACCAGATTCGCTGGTATTGCGGATTGTTTACTTGAAAGCTTTTTGTTTACTGAGACACAAAATAAACTGATTAGCGGCATCATATAAGAACACATACATGATGGTCCTTTTTTACTTGACTAAGGATATTAGGTGCGATTAACGGTTTATCCACTTACTGTGTGACGCAAGGAATTCTTCAAATCTTCACAAAGAACAATTGAGATTACAAACAAGTGTGCGTAAATAGTTTTGGATCACTATCAATTATCTCTGGATTTGCTGTTAGCATCTACAGGGTGTCCCAAAAAAATGTATCGAACGTTTGATCGTTGATATCTCTCTTCTGAAGAAGTCTTTTCCCTTGCTTTAGGTACCATTTTGTAGAGCTGGCCTCAACTTAGATTTGCGTTGTAGAACGAATCACCCATCCCTCTTCATTACTGTAGGATTACGGTAGAAAGGAGCGTTTTGAGCCATGAAAGGCCATATTTTGCCTCAGAAAGGAAACAAAACAGCCTGAAAACTTTTACACTAGGTTATTTAGAGTTGTTGACTCTAACTGCAAAGTTCCCAACTTTTTATGATGCTTCAGTGAAGAGTTATGCCAGGTAAGAGGTAGCGGCCATTTTTTCAATGTTCCTAAAAAGTGCGGTTACACCGGTTAGAAGGCTTCCAATTTCGTGAATAGTTGAGTATCAAACTAAGCGTCCATAAAAACCCTATTACACAAGTTTTCATATTTTTTTGAAAAATTTTGAAACGGCTGCTTTTTCCACATTGACACCAGATGTTTCAAGTTTCTACCGTAATTCTACAGTAATGAAGAAAGATGGGTGATTCGTTCTATAATGCAAATCTAAGTTGAAGCCAGCTCTACAGATTGTTACCTAAAGCAAGGGAAAAGACTTCTTCAGAAAAGAGATAATAACGATCAAACGTTCGATACATTTTTTTGGGACTCCCTGTATTTTCTTCCAAGCATTCTCTGCGCGCTGGTTTTTGCTGGAATTTGGTCCCAGCTTTTCAGGTCTCTCAGCAATTTCAGTGACATGAGCTTGAAAGATGGAAAACGAGGATTTTGCTTCCAGATTGAAGAGACAGAGTACATGGGATTAAGATTGGCCATTATTTGGCAACATTGTTGTCCAAATTTCGGGGAGATAGTTGTCATATTGCAGTAACATTTTCTTTGCTGTAAAATGGAAACGTCAGAATCTTTGCAATGTTGATGTCATTTGTTTAAGAATGGCTTACGTTGGAGTGTGGTTTTTTTTAGCAAGATGTTTACTTACTTTTTGTGAAAAGCTTACAGGTCGGCAGTAAAGGAATAAGCGGGAATTTCAAATCATGTACATGTGTATCGCCCCTTTTTGATCTCATTTCAACTAACTCACCCTTCCTGTTCACTGCCGTTTGGCACCACCCTACGTTGACCTTGCCTAGGCATATTACTTATACTTAGTCATTTTTCAATGCATCCATTCTTCACTGCAAACTTTCATGTAATACATACCGTTTCTATTAGACAGAAATTGGAAACGATCATGGCCCTTGATAATGCCGCTCTGCCAGCTCAGTAAAATCAAGCTGCCTTTACTGCTCAACTCGCAAGCAAAACTAGGACCGCACAGCTTTGCATATTTCAAGAATCAAATTCAGCTGTCAAACGATGGCGCGCTTAATTGCCGTGATAAATGTACCGCGCTGCCGTAAGTTACTCAACGTTATAAGTTGAGCATAGAAAGATAGTACACGAAAGAAAAAGAAAAATTCCATAAAAGGGTAATTTGAGGGGACATGTTAGTTGACTTAAAGTTGCGAGACATGTAAGACTGTACGAGCCTAGGGCGAGAGTAAGAGGGAATACTTGCAGCCTCATTCGCAAAGTGTTGCAGGAGGATTAACAATGGAGAGAACACAGTTACTGCAAAGAAAATTTTCTTCCATGTAGATATTCACAAAAATATAGATTTAGTACACAATATTCGCGGGATTCTTTATTTTTTTAGTACCATAAAGTATAATCTCAAAATAACCTCGTTGTTCTCCAAACTAGACCGTAAAGACCCCAATCCACCAGATTTTCTAGAGTCTAATTGTGGAATGAAGTGGCAAAAGAAGAAGACTGTCCAATGCTTCCATGGTTTATAAGCGTATTTCAAGAGTGCCACATTAAGCAAAGCGCTTGAACTAGTTGGTGGAACTATTTATGCATTCATTCAAAGCGTTTCACAACTCAACACGATGGTCACTGCATTTGTCTCTCGCCCTCATTCTTCTCTCACCGGCATTTGAAATAATATCATATTTATTATCTGCACTCACATTGTTCGAATACATTGCTGAATCACACATGTGCTGAAGATCCACATGCATCTTATACTTGGAATTATATATTAGTTGTGAAGAAAGTTCCCGGACATTTTTGGAGATTCCATTTCCAAACGCTTGCCGCGCTTTGACACCAAGTTTTCAATACTGTTCAGTAGAGGGAAGCCTAAAGTTTTCAATACGGCTTCTGATTTTCATCGCTGCCTAGACGTGTTTGATCTGCCATCAAGAAGAAAAATTTTTCAACCATAAAAATCTCACGATTTTTACCTGCGGCCATTTTTTGTGCAATTCAAAGAATTTCGTCCAAATCAAGAGTGATTTGATTGAGGAGTCTGTTGACTTCTGACCAGCAGCTACACTCGAGATTTGCATTTTGCGCTCAGAAATTACAAGCTGTCGAATTTGCCCCTCGCTGCAGCCCTTTTTGTAGCTAGGGTCGCTTCTCCGGGAATTGCCGCGCCTGGATGATAGGTCCAAAAGATGTGCAAGGCATTATCACCCCCCCCCCCCCTAACTAAGGCACTGCCCAAGTGGCATTGCCCAAGTGGCAGCCATGCCATGGAGGTAGGCGTCAGGAGGCCTGTTAGAACGCGTAAAAGCATGAGGTGGCTTTTTAATTTTTCAAAAACGAAGCCAAGACTTATAACAGCTGTGATAGGCCTCCAAACTGGATCTCAGGATCGTACTCGCATGGATTCATGGCAGTTTCGCGCGAGGACCCACGCGTTGCGCCATGAATCCATGCGAAATACGATCCTGGGGTCCAGCTTCGCGGGGGATATCTCAGCCGTTAAAGCACTACCGAGCCGCCGGTTGGGCAACGGCTTATTCAAGGCCCCAAAATTACTATCCACGTGAGAACCCTATGTGTCCAGACTTCCTTGGACGCTGCCTTTAAAGGCGACTTTCACAGAGTATCATAGAAAGAGTATTCCTCGTGTTCACGAGCTATTAGGTCGTAAAGAAAGCTTCCGGGAACTGGAGAAAATTTTTTTCAATCGCTGTAACTTCAAGCAGATTGACTCTTATTTGAAGCTACAAACTTTATTGCAAAGCAATTTTGTTCTCAAGATGTATTTGTCTTGCTGGCTTTTCAGCACCTTCCTGCGGTCCACCAGCATGCGCAGAAGGGAAAAAGATAGACGCCGAAAGTGGCCTATGTGTGCACATGCTGTAGTTATGTGGAAGTCTGTTGGGGCTGTTATGAAGACATTTAAGCCTTTAAGCAAGCTTGCTTGAAAAATCGACCATGTTTTGTCCCGCCCCCCAAAACGCACCATTTTTCGAGTAAGTGACTTTGGAGTCATTTCATTCTGCACAGTGTGAACCGAATCTTTGATTACTGCAAGCATTATTGAGGTAATGCCTTACACATCTTTTGGATCCACCATCCAGGCGTGGTGAGCCCCGCAGAAGCGACGTCATCTGCGAAAAGAGTTGCAGTTAGAGGCAAGTTCGAAGCTTGTAATTTCTAAGCACAAATTGCAAAGCTCGAGTCAGTTGCGGATCAGAAGCAGCAGGTTTCTCAATCGGATCACCCAGAATTTAGAAGAAATTCTTTAATGTACAAAAAAAGGCCGCAGGAAGAAGAATTGTGAAATAATCATGGTTGAAAAGATTTCCTTTTTAGTCGTGCAGATCAAAACGCTTCGGCATCGATAAAAATCAGAAGCGGCTTAAGCTTCCCTCTACTGAACAGCATAAAAGACTTGGTGTCAAAGTCCGACCGAGCACCAAAAATGCGTCAGAAAATGAAATTTCCAAGAGTACCTAAGAACTTTCTTAACAACTTATACTTGATGATTCTATTATGATTTATTACATACTTTTATTTCTCTGATGTAAGTAAACGGATCAATGAATCAATGGAAAGGCACGTAAATCGCGTAAATCGCGAATGTAGCCTCTGTCGCAGCTTGTTCATAGGGGAGAGAACTTTAGCCTCATAGGTTTACCCAGAAAAATTTGTATTCGAAACATAGATTCACAGAATTTTGAGAGTTACATATATTATATATAAAATGTCAGTGGCGATTCCAGGATTCCCGTTGGAGGTGAAGGGAGGAGGATAAAATTTTTTTCGAATAAATGGGCTTGGCCACGCCACGCACTCCCAAACATTCCCCCCCCCCCCAAATTTTTCACAGCTACCATGAAAAATGAATTTTAAAAATTATTTATTCGTTTACAAGTACAAAAAAGTCACTTGCACATTATAACCCATTTAGAACCCATGTGAATAACTTTTAAGAATTTCGTGGCCCTTGAGGGAGGGAGGGGGCTCGCTCCACTACTGATAGATATAAATGTTAATGTGATCCGAATCAATGGTACTGTGATTGTGTCGGAATGCGCCAAGGTGAACTATATGGAAGCTGGCAATTTAGCTGGAGACGCCAACTCATACCCATTTTACCGGAATTCGATCTTCATAAATATCTAGGCAAAGCAACATAAAGTAAATCCTCGCAGAAAAGTCATTCAAAATGCATCACCTGACCATCAATGGCATTTCTGCAAAAATGAATTTAGAACCATGAAAAAAAAACACAGCGGAATTCGAACAAACATGAAACGGCCGATCTGGTGCCAGTCAAAGTCTTTATTTTTGAACTCACAAAAAACTCAAAAAAGTCGAATTTTTCGGTAAACCTCAAATTTCGACCCGTGGATCACCTAAAATTTCATGACTTCAAAAAACCATTTGTTCTTATCAGCAACATGCTTAGCACTGTCGGCTTAGATAATTTGCACAACTTTGGAGGTTATTCGTTAACTTCGGAAAAAGAGAAATGACTTTAAAGAAAAGCGCCGGGGATTATCAGGGATTATACAAAAGCCGGAAAATGCGGTTCGTAAGGCTTATCGCTTCTCTCCAACATGTTCATAGTGAAGGGTATTAGGAACACTTACGGATAGGTACACAACGTGAAATCCAGGTATTTGGAGTTTCAAAATATAAAGCTCTCTTTTAAGCTGCGATCCCCTCCCCGCGGGGATGTTAGTGCAAGCGGCCCTTAGATTCCTGCAAATATACAAAGATGCGTCGTCCCGTCCCCCCCCCCCCCCTCCCCCCTCCCCTCACTAGACACCTGGACAGATTTGCTTCGAACTAGACTACGCCGGTCGCGGCAAAGCCGGCACGGTCATATCCATTCCAAGCACACGGAATATTCTCTTTTATATTCTCGTCTTTCTATAGTGACTTTTTTGTTTCAGTGACGATTGTAGTTAGATTCGACGAGTTTGTTGTTGCTTAGCAATGTTTCATACTACTACTATGCTCGTTTCTTTAGCTCTATATTCAGGTAAGCCTGGAAAAACTGAGCACATTCTGAGTTTTTGACATGAAGTTCAGTAAGCAACACTTCAAGACGCGTCACTTTCCAGAAATTTATTACAGAACGTGAAATGTTGAAGAAGCGAGCATACCAGCAAGAAACATCGCTTAAAAGCAACAAAACCTTCAATCCCCTTTGACGAGACTGTTGATATTCAAAAAAAAAAGACTTTGGGAAAAGACCAAAATTATGTCTGAAATTGAAGGGCTGCAGGTGCCGCCCTAGTTCAAATTCGAGTTCGTCCACTAATTGTCTAGTGGGGGGAGGGGGGGGGGGGGGGGGAGAGACTGTAGTATGAAGGGTCCCAGTTTCGACTCCAACAACACAGCAAAGTATATTCAATATTACCCGTTTGAAAGCAATTAAGGAGTGCTAGATTGAGTTGTTGTCATATACCCTCCGTAACACTGAGAGTGGCGATTGGTGGGTGGATCTTAGAGCTCCGCAGCTTTCTCTAGCGAGCGTGCTATTTGATCAATTCGCAAGCTTAATTAGCTATTGAAACACCGCCACTCCCAATGAGACGAAGGTACACGAATACCTTAAATGTGTAACATTTCCAGAAAAGGGTATAACTCAGGAGCTCGCATTGCTGAAACACCTGACTCTCTGAGCTTCAACTATTGCAATGTTTGTCGAAGTCAAAATATTTTGCAATTTAGTGATGACACGATTTCTGATCCTCACAAGCTTCGTAAACTGTGTCTATGCTAAGCTGATTTTCGTCGTCGGCATATACGCACACGGTGATACCGCTCCAGTATATATCCCTTACCCAAATGACGTGAATGATGAGATAAGTTGGCCCAGAGGACTTGGAGCGCTTACAAATGTGGGTTCTAATTAGGATTTGCTTACTTAATTTTTGCCAATGTCTTTTTTAGAAAGGAATAGAAAGGATGTACAAACTTGGTGTATGGCTTAGAAAAAGATATATAGAAGATACCATCTTTCTTCACCCGAGCAAGTTGCAAAGCCAAGTGAGTGATTTAGCAGATACACGTTTGCGCTTTACATCAGTGCATATTGAATTTTTAACAGAGAGCGGTTCATTCAAAGAGCTCTTAAGGTCACCATGCAAAGTGCAAATTCGCCTAATACTGTCGAAAGTGCCCAAGCTGTTGCTGCAGGGCTTGCTCCAGCAGAAGGTATGCGTGATTTTAAAGGCACCGTCCACCCTATGTTAGGGGTCTTATTTTTGGCAGCTTACGATGGTAAGACCGCAGGAAGCCAATGCCCAAGTCGCGGCGCAAAATATTGCTTTAAAAGGCGAATTAATCGCTTAGGATCAGCGAAGACGCTTGAGGACCCCAAGTTGGCAGCCGCCCTCCCTCCTCCAGTAATGCTCGCCCATCCGTGCTCGCCCATTCAATCATCGTTACGAAAAGCTGGCCTGCGAGTTTTCCGAAACGGGAATTGTTGGGGTTCTCGCCGATTCTCTATAGAGAGTATACTTCATATTTGTAATCAGGGACATGAGAAGGTCCCGGAACGATCAAAACATAGATCGAGAATCTGGGTGGACGGTGCCTTGTGCCTTTGAGCTTGTCCAATTCAAAATGGCGAGCTACAGGACAAGAAGTGTGGACGAAGGGTGAACTGAGGTCATGGCAGCCTTTCTACATCGAAACACTTGCGGATGCTGCGCATGATATTGTAAACTTTTGTCCTTTGCGCTTTTGTTCTTTTATCCCATTCTAGCTTACAAAACACTGCAGATTCTTCGGCCAGCAATGTTCCCTTGCCCGTCAATCGACGGTGAAATTGTGGACGAGTGGAAAATTATCAAACATAATTTCGAAGGAAAGCATCGAGTGCTGCTCGAGAAATTTGCGACTCTCACAGGTTTATCGCCATTTAGTTTCTTCATGTTCGGAAGGCTCTACGGAATTCAAAAGGAGGTAAGTTTTCAGTTTTCATCTGAGTTACCTTTGATTCTCACGTATTTTTAGAGCATGTTTGTTTCTCTTTCCATTTCTAAATAGATTTTCAATTTATGCAAGCAGAGCAATTTTTTTTATCAATTAAGATTGAACATGGACTTCCTCAACCTGATTGGGTCAACGAAATATACGAGGGCAAAAAACTAATAGATTGGATTCGAGAGGCCAAGACGTTATCGAGATTACACCCCTTCAACACGAAGGAAAAAGGACGAGCACGGTGAGCATATCTATTTTAGCTGATCGTTTATGATTATGGTGACACACATTGTTTACGAACAAGAGGAAAAGCTAGGACCATTAGATGTTTTTACTATACCTACAGAAAATAGGAAAAACGAAAATGCGAGTAAAATCAGCCAATTAGTGCATAAAGGTGATCCGTAAAGAAGAAGCTTTCAGAGTGTACTTTTTATTTCTAGGATATTTCAATATATTGTAAAAAAGAGCAGCAATATTGCAAAGCGTTTGTGAGAATCAAATTTTTAGTGGTGGCGCTCTGCTGAACAAAATTGTCGAGTATCTCCGAAATGCAACTTACGATATTGGCGGTGCTAAGAAAGCCGTATTTGCATCCACGGTACGTTTTACCTGTCGCGTAAAGGGCCGGGCATACTTCATGCGATTTCAGTCGCGACGCGACTTGGCAATACTCCAACTGTACATAACCCTCTGTAAGCATATTTTGAATGTACAGAAAATAGGGCATTTTATCAATCCACGTAAGTTATACACACGGTGCATGTGTGGTTTGCTAGCGTTGGGTCTGAAGACTTCTGGCAGACTGCCAAATCGCGTCGCGACTCAAATCGCGTGAAGTATGCCCGGCCCTTAAGGCACGGACCAAACTTATTTCTCTAGATCTATTTGTACTTCATACAGACATCCTCACATAAAAATTGAGCTTCTCAGTCTTGGTTTAATTGACTCTATTGACATTCTTTGCTGACCTACACTTATCTTTTATCCTTCCGTGCACGAAAGCCAGAGTTCATTTCTAAACAACAAATTATCGCCTGACGAGATGATGTGTGACATGCGTTTTCATACCGCCCTTTCTTTGTCAGTTGTCCGATCATTCTTGTGTCGAACCAAATTCGTAGACTTCTACGAATGTGAGTGGCAGTTGTTGGCAGTGTACGCTGTGAGTAAGAACTCGATTTTGTGACCAAACAGAGCTTTTGCTCACTTCAGTTCGATGGAACAATAGCCCCGTTGATGTATGCAATGGGTATCGGCAACAATCAGCTGGTCAAAAGTGGATCGTTGCTTCTGATGGAGCTTCATGAAAAGAACGAAGATTTTGTAGTGCGAGTGAGTCGTTTGTAATAAAACTAAACTATAAAAAAGACATCTTTCATCTGAATATCTTGATGCAAACCTAGCAGTGATAATTTCCGTGAATTTATCCAAAACCCCTAAGCAGACACCGTGTTGAGATTGGCGTTCCAAGACGTATCCGTGGTGTGTATTCTTTCACAAGCAGTTATGACCACTCTGCTTTCTTTGTAAATGCTGAAATATATCGGATTGCAGATCAAAATCTCTTATCTTTAAACCTGAGCATTTCGATATGTGTCAGTAGTTGATTGTTGTGCCGAAATCAGGTTTCTTGGTGGATGTTTATTCGACCGACGTTTCGACGTGCTCGTCTTTTTCAAGAGGTCTGAACGTAGATTAGCCGCCAAGACCTCCTCCACAAGTGCTAGCCTAGACCTTATCAGAGGATAGCAGCCAGCGGGAAACCATCAAAGTTGTGAAACGAGCTAACCTTAACTTAGTTAAGGTTAACTTAACTTGGTTAAGGTTAGCTCGTTTCACAACTTTGATGGTTTCTCGCTGGCAGCTATCCTTCGATAAGGTCTAGATTAGCATTTGTGGATGAGGCTCTTGGCGGCGTACTGGCCAGATCTAAAAAACCTATAATCTACGTTCAGACCTCTTGGAAAAGACGAGCACGTCGAAACGTCGGTAGAATATACATCCACCAAGACTCGGTTCCACAACAATCAACTACTGACACATATCTCGGATTGTATATGGTTGTCCGGAAAATAATGTCGCTTTTTGTTTTATCATGCAATATCGCAGCAGGGGGCGCACGAAAGTATGTGAATGGGGTACCAACCGATAGATCAGAGCAAGCTCTACAAAATGAAGCTCGAACCTTCGCGCCGGGTTTGATTTGCGTGAAGTTTGGAGCCAAATTTCACAAGGCACTCAAGATCCGAAAAAACGAAAAAGACCGTATCTCCGTTCTGAGAAGTCTTGAGGACCCCTAACTTGCTCACGCATGGAGTCACTATACGAGACACTCGTACGCGCATTTTCGAGGTTTTTCCATGGCTGAAAATTGAGAAAACCAAATTTGGCATGTTTTTGCCAAAGCAATCCTGAGCTTCTTTCACATAAGTGATTCTGTAGCATGAACCTTTAGGAGTATAACCATGAATTTTCAGCTTTAGACAAGCGCTAGTTTTCGAGAAAAATCAAATTGTTTGCAAAAAACCCGAAAAACACGACATATTCGCACTTTTGACCTCTTTTTATTTCTCGTACTGTAGCCATGGAAAAATACCAAAAACTATACAGGTGAATTGTCTAGTGTGGAGAGTACACGCCTGTGCAAATTAGAGATCCTTGAGACGTCTGTGAACGGAGATACGATTTTTCGGGCGTCTGAAATTTTTTATATTTTGGATTCGAACTTCAGTTGGAGCAACATCTCCGCGGAGATTTGTGAACTAGCTTGTAGAGCTTGCTTTGCTCTATCGAATGATACCCCACTCGATGTTTTTTGTGGTCATTCCGTCGCGGTAGGATGCCATGCGACATTATTTTCCGGACAACCTGATATTTAGGCAGTGAAGAGTAGACTAGTACTAGTATGTCATCGTGATGTAAATTGCTCTGGATGCATTGTTCTTTGAGAGTGACGGCGACCATCATCATATCTTCCAAGGGCTTTTCCTTACAGATATGGTGGAGGAATGACACTGAACATGTACAGCAGCTGGTGCTTCCATCATGCGATCTCGACTGTCCCTTAGACGACTTCGCAGATAATCTGCGCTCGATGAGGCTCACTGAGTACGATGCGAAACAGGTCAATCGATTTCTGTTAAAAAGTGTAAAGTATGAGAAAGATTCATGGAAATATACATTCTTACTTTTCTTCTAGATATGCGGCTGTGCTACGTCATATGTGTCGCGGTTGAGCATGATCACCTTATTTTTACTGATCTTATTTACTGTGTAATGATTTTTACGTTGTGTCTTGTTAAAATTGGCTGTCATTAGAATATATTAGGTCGTTCCGAAAGTAATGTCGCTTTTTCCGAATAAACGCCACTATTCGTGGAATCAACGTTTTCAAGAGTCTTAGGAGCATTCGATGCAGCATTTCATCCTCTTTCTAATGGTTGTAATTTCATTGCATAATTTTCATTGAGCTTTCGAAAAATTAACAAAATCTGCAACTCACGCTTTTTGCCATGGTCAAGTTCGACAATTTTTTAAAACTTTTGTACCTATTCTCCGAAGAAGTACAAGTAGCAGGTAGATAGAGCAAACCCTATAGGACACAAAATAATTTTTCTCTTTTCCTTAGCTTGTTTCCTATAGTTTCTGGAGTCAATTCTTTTATGCCATCAAATTCCATATTTGGTCAACTCAAACCTCACAGAACAACAACCGGCAAGCAACTCGGGTGTCATTCGACGCAGCTTTTTCTCCTCTTTTTAGCAGTTGTTTTTGGTTTCCGATTCATCAAGGTTTCCGAGATAAAATCATCATAATTCAGGTTTTCCAGGGCGCCTCCGGCTGTACCCGGAATTTTCAAAAGTTGCTAATCTGAAGCGGTAAACGCTCATTTGCTTTGTAAAGTTGGTGTAAAACCATAATCCATTTTTGTAAGTTTCAAAATCCGACGATTTCCTGGTGTTTGATGCATTTGCGTCTGAGACGAGCCTGCTAAAATTCGGTGGTTCCGTCAAAAAATCTGTACAAAAATTAGGACGAGCTTTAGAAAGTAGGAAAAAGTTGTGCTGTTTTCTGCAGGGTTTGCTCCATCCATCCATTACTTGGACTCCTTCTGAGGTTTGTTACAAAATTCTAGAAAAATTGTGAAATTTGGCCATCTCAAAAAGCATAGGTCGCAGATTTTGACTCTTTTCTGGAAGCTTATTGAGTTTACTGCAATAGCTTTATAACCGTTAGAAAAAGAATGAAATGCTGCGTCAAACGCTACCAGAATCTCTTACACATCTTTGTTCCACGAGATGTGGCATACGTTTGAAAAAAGCGACATTACTTTCGGAACGACCTATAGGTCGTCCCGAAAGTATTATTTTTGCTTTTTTCAAACAATCGCCACGGTCCGCAGAACAAAGATCCTTAGAAGTTCTTGGAAGCGTTCGATGCAGTTTTTTATGCTCTTTCAAACGGTCATCTTTACATTGCAATTTAGCAAACGAGCTCTCAGAAAATAACCAAAAACTGCAACCCATAGTTTTTACCATAGTCAGTTTCCGGTATCAAAATTCCTGTAGTAGTTTCACGAAGGAGTTCAAGTGACCTTTAAATAAAGCAAACAAAGTAGGATACAAAACAATTTCCGCCCCTGCCAACTCTTATTCTACAAAATTTTTAGAAATACTTTTTTTGATGCCATTGAATTCTATATTTCGTCAACTTAAACCTCAAAACCATTACTGGGAAAGCAACTCGGATGTTATTCGATGCAGCACCTTCTCCTCTTTCAGAGACATGTTTTTTGTTTCTGATTCGTAAACTTTTAGAAGACAAAACCGACAAAATTCATGTTTTTGATGGCGCCCCAAGATGTAAAAATTCAAAATCTAATATTTCGAACCTGGAAACGCTCATTTGTCTTGTAAAATTAGTAATGAATCTTAATCTTTCTTTAAGAGTATCAAAAGCTGAGAATTTCTTAGAGTTTGACGAGTCTGCGTCTGGTATGGGTCTGCTAAAATTCGATAGCGTTGTTTAAAATTTTGTCGAAAAATTAGGGAGAGTCTGCCAACGAGGAAGAAATTGTTTTGTATCCTACTTCGTTTGCTCTATCCGCAGGTTACTTGGGTTTCTTTGGAGAATCAGCACAAGAATTTAGAAAAATAGCGAAACTTGACCTTGATAAAAAGCGTGGGTCGCAGTTTTTGGTAATTTTCTGTGACCTCGTTTGTTAAGCTGCAATATAAAGATAACCATTTGAAAGAGCATAAAAAACTGCATCAAATGCTTTCAGGACCTTTCAAGGATGTTTGTTCCGCGGACCGTGGCGATTGTTTGGAAAAAGCGAGAATACTGGACAACCTAATAGGTTTCATTTTAATTTATTCGAAGTTTTGAGGTGTAAAAAGGTTTCATACTGTAAAAAGAATTGAATGTTTATAAGTATTTTGAAATCTTTTGCATTCTAGTTTCATAGGGAAAACAGAGAGAAAGGGCAGGACAGCGGACAAAGACGATAGCTATAAGATATGCCAGCAAAACTACTAATGACCTTGATTTATTAGGTTGTCCCACAACTACTTACCGTTTTTACTTTGACGGTCGTCTTTTTGTATCTATCCTTCATCTGATGCGGCTTGAGTGACCATTCGATAGGGCAAGGCAAGCTTTACAAGATGGCTATCAAGAGTCTGCGTAAATCATAATCCACTTGAAGTTTTGAGCTGAAATATGGTAGTAGTCAAAAACAAACTTTTTTGTCAAAAATTGTTCCGCCCCAAAATATCTGAAAAATTCCAAATTTATTCTGGCATATGCTTGACACATCGCACATTCGACTGCGTACTTTAATTTTTTTCATGGCTAGAAATAAAGAAAAAAATGAATATGGTAAAATGGCAAACTCCGCCCCTAGAAGTCCTGATCTCCTCCCACACACGTGATCATATAGCCCATACATACAGGTACGATCATGTATTTGAAAATTTTGAAGGTGCCTCAGTTCTCAAGAAGTGCTGATGTTTAAGGTAAGAACGGTAAATAATTATGGGACACCCTAATACATCACACACACACGATGTTTGCAGTTTAAAAAAGAAGATAGGGAAAGGGGGTTTTCTTCAAATTAAAGTGATATAACACAAACACTTTTTCAAAACTCATCTTCGCACAGCGCTAATAAATGCGCTGTGTGAAAGTGAGGCGAGACGATAGAAGCGAAAAGGAAACGCCTTGGGGTTGCAGATGATGTCTCGAGCCCTTTCTTTCAATCAATACAGGGTAAAAAGTCTTGGATTAAGAAGCAAGGCTTTCGAGTAAATTGTGAATTTGGCAACGGCAAAAAATGGGAATTTTCTAATTTTTTGGTCAATCAAACTCCAGTAAGGTTTGGTGTTTAGCAAACAACATAGCGATTTGATGTTAGGTTGTGTAATAAGTTCGTTCGCATTTTTTGTTCCAATTTTTTCTTACAAGTGAATTGTGCCGAGTCGAAGTGGCCTTTTCAGATGGGACCCATACTGCTTTGAAAAGCATTAATCGGTGATTCCAAATCTGCTCTCCAAATCTGCCAAGCGCCTCTGGACGCCGAGTTATGCTCGTTTTTCAGGTCAAAAAATTGAACGCAAAACTGAAGCAAAACCGCTCAAATTTGCTGAAACGGTCCAATGTCAAGTGTCAGAGCTGTTTATGCAATGGATACATTTTATTTATTATGCTAATACTTAACATTGTTTTATCTGAGCGCTGGAAAGATTGTAACAATCAATTTTACCTAATTCTGCATTCATTTTTCGTTCCAAAGAACGGTCATAACTCGGCGTCCAGAGGCGCTTGGCAGATTTGGAAGGCAGATTTGGAATCATCGCTTAATACTCTTCAAAGCAGTATGGGTCTCATCTGGAAAGGCCACTTCGACTCGACACGGTTCCCTTGTTAGTATTTTACAAGACATTTGGCATAGTGTTAGTATGCATTCGGAAGCTCTAGGTTTACCCTACCAAAATACTATCATTATATTCCTAGTTTGTAAAAAGTTGAATAAAAAAGCCGACTACAATCCGAAAAATCTGAATTGGCAAAAATCCCATTTTCGACAACTATGTTATGCCGCACCTTGCTTGAATGGGTTTGAGCGCTTAAAAAACAGCCCAAAAATTTTGCGACATGTATAAATAGAATACTATAGCTCCCGCAGATTACCTGTAGTGCTAAAACCTTCCAAAAACAAATCATATTGTAAGCTCAAAAATAGGTATGTTTTTATGTCTTTTTGGTGTCAACGTTAAGCATCTGAAGGCACCTCTGAAGAAAGATGGTAGCCGAATAATCCAGAAATTGGCAGACATGTGGTCTATAATCGCTAAATCATCGAATGAATGGCTTATATAGTCAAAAATTTAGAATTCGAGGGACACATAGCCCACGGACGCGAGACAACGAACACTGCTGCGGCAAAGCCTTGCTAGGCCGAGTTTTGCAAAAATTGCATTAAACGGTCGGTGAAAGGAAATGGGCAATCGTAAATAGTATCAGTAAATGCATAAATTGTTAGTCAGTTGTTTTTCTTCGTAGTCAAGCTTTTTGAATAAATTTCAACAAATAATATCGGGAAAACTAAGGAAGAAGATGTCGAAAATGGGATTTTTGCCACTTCAGATTTTTCGGTTTGTAGTGGAATGTTTTATCCTTTTCAAAAACTGAGAATATAATGATAGTATTTTGGTAGAGCAAACTTAGAGCTTTCGAACGCATACTAACACTATGCCAAATGCTTTGTAAAATATTGAGAAAAAATCGAAACAAAAAATGCGAACGAACTTATTACACAACCTAATAATTCTTCCTCCATGGAACCCAAAAGTTTGTAAAAAGCTTTGAAGCTCGTGTGTAGGTCCCGCACCCGCATGCATCATAACGCTTATAACAAAGCTTTAGAGAAGCGCGAAGCATGGAAAATAGTTTCACTTGCAAAGATAAAGTCTTAACTTCATAAAGAATTTGATTTTTCTTGTCTATTATCTGCAGTGACCATAGGCAGCTGAAAAGCATGTTGCTGTGTAAGCTATTTTCCAACTTCTCAAGTGAACCTACAATTGCCGAAGGATGATTTTTTTTCGAAGTCATATAATTTCTGAAGTTTTATGGCTTTTGGGTTCGGCTGTCGTTATATCTTCTGGGGCAGCAATTATTATGGTCTGTGAACGAGCCCCATGAATTTTTTGGAAAAAGAAGTGGAAACAAATACGATTAAATCCAGTCCAGTAGAAGAGTTCATTTATGAAAAGGTACGATCAACTCGCTCCATTTTCTTGCTATTGCCCTATTTTCAAAGTTTTCTTTGCGACTCGGTCACTACCATTAGTGAAAGCCCTGACTACAAAAAGAGTTGATGAACTATGAGAATACTGCAATAATCATCTTCCAAATATCCGTTACTATGGAGGGCATTTTAGTAAGGGTGGTAGCAGCTAAACACATCATAACTTTCTTCGCTTTTTGGGGCGGCGTTTGAGCAAAATGCAACTTTTTGAAAAAACCGCTTTGATTTGCATTATGCCAAGGATCAGTGTTTCAAACCTGGAAAAAACTGCATGATTAACAATAACGCTCTTCGCAGTTCACCTGATAGCGTCGTAGCAACAAAAAATCGCTTCTGTTGCAAGACGATATGTTTAAGAACCTCTTCACGATTCACTCGTCACCATACATATTTCTTTTGTACCTTTGGAAACATTGACGTTGTTTCTTCAACGTCTGGGTGCCTTCATACCGCGCCGGCAGCCTCCGCTAGCAGCCCGTAGCAACCCACAGCACTCGCCAGCAGCCCGAAACCGCCGCTGGCTGTTTTTGTCATAGAAGCGCAAAAACATCAAATTCTTACTACTTTATGTGCGCTTGCCCACGCTTTCCATCTTCCACCTTCTTTCTTCCTATTGCGGCTAATGTGCAGTTCTCTCTCACACACTACAGAGTTATTCAAAAATGTACCGGCCAAAGATATGATTGCAGGAGAAGTGTACTCAAAAAAAAAAACAAATAGCACACCTGCAGAAACTGCACGCATCCAAAGTCAAAATAGATTTCACCGCGAAGAAACTTTGGCGAAATATGGCTCAACTGAGAGAGAGGGTAACTGAGCACCAGCAGGATCAATTTAAGGCAACAAGACAATAACAACAATGGACACAAGTATGATATATGAGATCGAGTTGCAACAACAGGAAGGAAAAAGCGTGGAAGATGGAGAGCCTGGGCGGTTGCACTTAAAATAAGAATTTGATGATTTTGTGCTTCTATGACAAGAGAAGCCAGCGGCGGTTACGGGCTGTCATGGGCTGCCACCGACGGCTACCTGCGCGGTATGAAGGTATCATCTCGAGTAGCCTTGATTTGGGCGCAATACGGTGACATTGAGCGTGGAAAGCGTTTTTGTTGCTGGGACGCGAAGTTCACTTATGTGTTTTCTTAGCAGAAATTTCGGTTATGGACGTCATAACATCGTTCATAGTGGACCACTTTCGAATCCAAAGTTACCTGCTCTGCTCAGTTCGACGAGGTTTTCTGTAATGTTGCAGTAGGGATACGATGAGTATCAGCTCTCACAGACATCAAGTTTGCTCGATTAAATCACCTATTGTGCTAATAACAACACTTCAGACTTGATGTTAGTGACACATTGTACTGTAGGAGCACGGTAGTGTATTACTTTGAGAGATCTTTATAAGGTTGCATGCAATAATTGAATACCATGTAGATAATCAATTTGCTTGGAAATGAAGCATTGCTTGGGGATAGACCTGCTTCCTTCAATTATGTTGGTTCACTTGTAAGTATGTCGTTTGTGAGAATGCGAATGATGTTAAAACATTGAGCTTTATGTATAAGTTGTTGTCAGCACATTAAGTTATCGGTCTCAGCAGGCTTGAAGAATTCGCGTGAACGACTATCTTCCCTATTTTTTGCGTAAACCAACTATGACACTCTTGAATTAGGAGCTTCGTCAAGATAAGTAATATGGTATTTCTCAGATTCGAAGTTCGCCCACTATTAAGGAAGTTATGGTGTCCGAAGCGAATAGTTCGGCGATATGAAAGCAAAATGCGTGCAATTTGCGTACAAGTGGCGAAATAAACGGGTTGCCATCTTGAAAATCGCGAGCGTGATGTAGCTGACAACCAGTGATTTTGAGATTAGAACAATTTCTTGTAATGAGAATTGACATACTCAGAAGTAAATGAAAACTAAAACAACAGAATTTGCCAAATTTATGGTCATTTGTTGCTGTTTGAGCTGTCCAGTATTCGATTAGAGAGGAAATATGATGGCTTACCACTGCTAGTATAGCCTAGAATTTGATGGCTGATGGCTGCTTTTGTGTCTATACGAAACACATCAGCTATGAAAGCTTTATACGCCCTCATTTAAGCAATAGTAGAATGATGTGGATCAAAGGCGCGGCAAAGTAGGATGCTATCATGAACATACTCGACATCGCGCATTCTTGACCTTATGGCTACGAGGAGTTTTAGCCAAGGAGGAAGTGGTAAGACTGTGCTGATTTCAGCATAAAAACATCTGTTATATTGTAGTTGTGCGTGTAGATCTTTGCCGCATTATCGTCTGTGCTCGAATACTCTTCGTCTTCGTCATGTGTTTTGGAACACGAAGGTAGAGATACTTATTAAAATCGTTGCGATATTGTTCACTGTAAACGCCCATTCAAAAACTATCCTTATCTGATATAAATACATGTACGATCCATGAGCACGATACAAACCTGACGAAGTAAAATACGAAGAAGTTTGTAGCTATAGATAAGTTCACTGGTAAGCCAGAAATCAAAGCAATTTCTGTACCAGTGAAATTCATGGTCGAATAATCGAATGCGATTCCAATGAATATGGTAGCTACCCAACCAAGCACCACAGATAAACTCGTGAGGATAAGAGACCGGTATATATGTCGCAAATTCTTGTCCGCTAAAATATTTTTTCATTGACGTGAAGGTTTGCTTTGTTGTCACTTACAAATTGATACCTTTCTCACTTTTACAATGAATAGTGCGTAGCAAGCGAGAATCAAACTGTTTGCTATCGCAGCCACATTGATGATTATGGTCCGAGGTAGGCCATAGAATACGACAGATACAACACAAACGACTTTCCTGAGGAGGAGTTATGATTAGACCGTATTAAGAGAGAGAAGAGCTATCTTACGGGGAGGGGGGGGGGCAGGAGGAAACAAAGGGCTGTCGCCTGTATTCGCAGGAGATAATTAGGAGCACAGGCGCTGTGGAGAACATTTTTGGCAAGGACAACAAATCTTCATAACTTTGCCTAGAGATGAGTTTTTCAAATTTGTATAACAGGTTTGTAATGCGAATTGGAAAGCGCATTCACTGGGCCTAAAAGTAAGTGAAAATCGGGAATTATAGCGGTAAGAAGAGTCAACTTCCTTAGTAGAAAAGGATCCTCCTGTTTTGTAAATTTTGAAGTTTCAAAATAGTTGAACATTGTAATTTTCATCCAAAATTCATTCTTTTTTCTTTGGGGTAAGAGAATATTTGCCTCCTGAGTCAATACCTCAAAGCAATCAAAATGTCAAATACTGGAGGCTTGCGTCAAGATGCAATATGCATTCGCCTCATAACTTTTTGAACCTATTTTCAAATTTTAACACTAAAGATTTCGTAAGATTCGCCATCGAAACTATGTTAATCCTTTTGAGACTGTACACAATAGCAAAATCATCACATGCGACTTAGTCAACATTATTTTCTGTTTACCACTCCCTACTTTCAACTTCAAACCCAAAATTTCACTGAAAAATTCAACTAAATGCTAATACAACGTTGAACTTGAAGTTCCTCAGCTTTTGATTGTTGAATTTTAAAGGCACACTTTTTGGTAAAAAGAAGAACTCGAACAGCGAAACGAAGTTGTCCATCTATCCGGTAGACATATCTACTGAAAAATCAGTATTTCAATACTGATTCCAAATCTGTCCTTCGTACCCTTGAAAGTTAATTCCAAGAAGAGTTATAAGGGTTTGATCCTAATGGATGTTGCCAAGTTTTCCTGGATGCTCGCCAAAATCTTCTTCACAGCGCTCGGTTGTTAACTAATAATAATAACTCGGCTTCCAGAGGCGCTTGGCAGATAAGGAAGACGAATTAGAGGTTCATTCAATGCTCTACAAAGTGATTTAGGTGACATGTGGAAAGGCCATTTCGACTGAACACGCTTGTCTTGTTAACTGCTGAGCTTCGTTCTCGAGCGAGTTATGAGCTTTTTTTCTGTGCGTGGAAAAACTAGATAGAAATTTGCTCAAAAAAGTTATTGGATAACGAAAAACATTAGACTGAGTCTTCTTATGCTGATGAACTTAACGCAAATGTGTAAGCACTCCAAGATGATATGATAAGTTATAAGTCGATGAACATGGAGAGTTGCCAAAAAAGTCAGTAACTCCAACGGCGTGATTGACATCCAGACAATTTGTGCTCATCGGGGTTTGTTCTCAAAATCGAAAATTTGTGTTCTTGGTGTGATGAGAGCATTTACAAATGTGTCGCAGTGTACCCCGCTCGTCACAAGCTGCGGAGGGCTGTTCTGTGAATTTCAGGGCCTAAAACACACCTCACGCGATTCCAGTTGCTGCGCGATCTGTTACTGCAACAACCCTTCAAATTATTCGTACACGCACTTTGCTTATACCAAATTTGTTACTTCTGCGAGAAATTATAAAAAACCTAAAAGGACTAAAAACTAAACTACTGACTTACTTACGAGCACTTGAAGGAGCGTCCAGGCAAATCAAGGCCTGTGGGGATCTCACTTGGAGGGTAATCTTGAAGCTCTAATCAAAACATTAAGCATAACTACTTCAAGCAGTTGAGCGCACATAATCCTGTGCTTTGAAAATTCTATCCTTTGTACCATACATTACATTTTCTTGTCTAGATTTTGTTTTGCATCACTCGAAATCCTGCACTGTATTAGAAACCCCAATTTTTCGAGAGCTATTGAAGGTGTACATTCAAACATTCCGATGTCTGCACTCAATATCTGACCAAATTTCAAACATCCTGACTTATCGCTGAAGATCCATATGTTTAGAAAGCAATCGTAGTTCAGTGCCTAACTAGGGGAGGACCCAAAATCGAAATCTTCTTTCCAAATAAATTACGTACCAATTTGAAGAGCATCGAACGCTGATTTCAAAACTTTTTTTGCCAGACTTCTCCAGTCATTGAGTCATTGGTTTATTGCAGCGAAAAGTGATAGCAAAATCTAGGTAAAATCAATGGCTTTGGTCTTTCCAAATCTCATATAAAGCAATATTAGTACAAGTAAACCTGACAAAAGGTTTTCATAAAGAGTGCTCTGCTACCAACACCGGGCCATTTGCGCAATCTTGGACGAGTTGTTCCAGTTGCGCGTTCAATTTTTTGAAATGAAAAAGGCTCATAACTGAGCGCCTAAAGGCGCTGGCAGATAACAAAGACATTGGAATCAGCGTTTGATGCTCTCCAGGCTATATTACATGTGGAAAGCCGATTTCAACTTTGGGTCCACCTCTTGTAAGCCAAGTAAACCCTCAGCTGGTTGCAGTGAGCAGGAAAGATGCTTGCGGTGATACTTAGATATCAGGCTGGCCGCTATTCGCAATGTATAATGTGATCTTGCGAGATTAATGACGTCATGAAAAAGAGTATGAGAAGTAACAGTGCGATAGAAGAAAGTGTGTTGCTTCCGGATGCACAAACTTGCTGCCACGCTAAGATAAAGGCGTAGAGCCTGACTTACAAGGGAACGACCCCAACTTAAAGAGGCGAATTGGAATGAATCGCATATCATTAGAGGCGTCTTGATGAGCTGATTCCAAATTTAGCTTTCATATCTGCGGAGCCGTTCTCCGCAAATAGTTACAAGCGTTTGAAGATGTTACTGAGGTTTCAATGCATAATGTGCTTCAGAATCCAACTTTAGAATGTACTAGCTGGCTTACCCGGCTCCGCCCGGCCCTGTCAAAAACGATAAAGGTTCCATTTCTATCCCTGTACACTTTTACCTGTGCAAACTTCTACATGCAGTTCCCTGTTCCCGCTGTGTGAGTAATCAGTATGCTCACCTACCTACTTCACCAACCTTCCAGCCCAACAGCTTAAACTTTGCAAAAAAACAATAAAATCGATAAAAGTAAGGATAATTCTAAAAACTGATGGAGTTATTCGGCTATCCGGGCCCTAAAAAATTTTTGTTTTGGATCTTGCTCAAACTCGATATATGGGGGTTATTCAAGCTGCTGATGACGAATATCGTAGTCATTTCGCGTGGCAGCAGGTAAAAATCATGAACCTGCCTGAAACCTTGGCAGAGAATTATCTAAGGTGCTGTTTCAACAATATCGTGCTCAATCCCCACGATAAAGGCAATTCGTGTGGTATAAAAGTTTCCCACGACCGTAATGCTTTCCCTTATAGGACCACTGCCGCGCGCGAGACACCCTTTGGCGGCTTTTGCCTAAGCAAAAACAGGGGGAGGGAGATTTACCGCGTGCGTTAGGCATTGGGACAGATTATCAGGATGGCGCTGGAGACCGCTATGCAAAACGACCGTCCCCCCCCTCCATCTCTTGAATATCTGGGATCTAAACTGGCCCGAAAGCGAAAAAATGTCCATTCTAACCCTGCCACTCACCATAACTTCACTATTGTGTTATGACAGCGAGCAAGCGTCATATTTATAAGCGACTAGCTGGCTTACCCGGCTCCGCCGTATCCGGACCAAACTTGGCACACATACACTTCGGGCCCCGGCGGGTGTCACAGTCCACTTTTCGTTATCGATCGATGTCGATTTTACCGATTTTTATCGATTTTTTGGCAGAGTTCACCTACAGGGCTAGGAGTTGGCACAGGGGGGAAGTGAGCATGGGGATTCCGAATACAATATTAGTTTTCAGAATTATCGATTGCTTTTATTGATTTTATCGATTTTTTGGCAGAGTTCACCTACAGGGCTAGGAGTTGGCACAGGGGGGAAGTGAGCATGGGGATTCCGAATACAATATTAGTTTTCAGGATCGTCCATTACTTTTATCGATTTTATCGATTTTTTTGCAAAGTTTGACCTGCGGGGCTGGGAGTTTGCACAGAGGGTAATCGAGCATGCAGATTACGAATACAATATTAGTTTTCAAGATCGTCCATTACTTTTATCGATTTTATCGATTTTTTTGCAAAGTTTGAGCTAGGGGGCTGGGAGTTGGCACAGGGGGGTAATCGGGCATGCTGATCACCCCCCTTGGGGATGATCAGCATGCTCGATTACCCCCCTGTGCCAACTCCCAGCCCCCTAGCTCAAACTTTGCAAAAAAATCGATAAAATCGATAAAAGTAATCGATAATCCTGAAAACCAATATTGTATTCGGAATCCCCATGCTCGATTACCCCCCTGTGCGAACTCCCAGCCCCGTAGCTCAAACTTTGCAAAAAAATCGATAAAATCGATAAAAGTAATCGATAATCCTGAAAACCAATATTGTATTCGGAATCCCCATGCTCGATTACCCCCCTGTGCCAACTCCCAGCCCCGTAGGTGAACTCAGCAAAAAAATCGATAAAAATCGATAAAATCGATATCGATCGATGACGAAAAGTAGCCTATGACACCCGCCGGGGCCCGTAGTGTATGTGTGCCAAGTTTGGTCCGGATCGGTTCAGAAATGGAATTTTCTATTCGGAACATACGTACACACAGACATACAGACAGACAGACAGACATACAGACAGACATACAGACAAACAGACATTCAGCTTTATATATAAGATATACTTGTGAACCGTCACAAGTAAGGTTTTGAGCAAATCTGGAACTTTGACCCATCTACATCCACCGTAACCCAAGAAAATGCACTATCTTGCGAAATCAGCATGATATTCATGTTCAGCGCGCTAAATGACCACCCTAGACGAAGTTTAGAGCAAATCTGTGTTTTCGACCCCATGCCGTATAACCACCACAACTCTATGAAAAGGTTCCAATATGCAGAGAGAGAGATGATATTGGTAATTAGCATGTCGAATAAGCCATATGGACCAAACTCCAGCCGAATTCATGATTTTGACTTCCTACCGTACACCTATCGTAACCACACGG